AGCGTGTCCACTAGCCTATATAAAAGCCTAGTTTCTACCCTTGCCACACCAAGCCAACGTTGCTTGGCTCGACCGTGGCGCCAGCCGCGTAGATCAGGAGTTGTGCCCCTTGTAATGAAAACACGATATCCAATCATGGCTGTTCTTTGATCGTATGGCTTCACAAAGATGGCGACTACCATAGGCGACGACCTGGTCGATCAGATAACGAAAACATATCCTGTCAGACAGACAAACAAAGGCAATCGTTGAGGGGTTTAAGAGAAATATATGCGTGTCAACAAAGACAGGCAGTGGTAAATCAGTCCTGTTTAAGGACTATTCTCATCATCGTACTGCTTACAAGCACAGTACTTGGGCGAGTTGATTTACAACTTGGAAAAACTTAGAAAATACTTGTTTCTCTTAACTGTTGAAAGACAAGCTACATTACAGCGGTCATGTTCTCGGAACCCAGATGTTGATTTTAATGAAACGTTCTCTGATTGGGCTGTCGATATGTGCTATAGTCCAATCATACTTAGCACAGGAATGTGGGAATCATGTGGGAAGGGTGAAAACTAGAATTTGATAAACAGGCTAGTGGACGCTCATGCCTCGCTAAAATGGAGAGAATAAAGGTTGACTGATTGTTAACCGGACGATATCACTGTGTTAATACCGGAAAACTAGGTGTCTTTGTTCTTTTCGAGATGCATTTAATAAGGGCTAACGTAACACATCACTAAATTAAACTCTTATATTTCATTCCCTTGTTGTGAATAGTGGATTGATCCCAACCTTCTTCAGATAATGTCGGTCGATTTTCTCTCCCCAGTAGGTCAGGGACAACTGGTAATAAATGACTCGACAAAATTTACCGGGTCAGCGGCTGTAGATAACTGTGAAGCGTATGATAAGGGCTTGCCTGACTTGCAATACTGCACATGGCAGATACCATCTTCCCGAGGCCAGGGAGTTAACTGACTATAAAAGTCAAGTTTCCACCCTTGCCGAAGTAGGCTGGTATTATGGAGTTACATTTTTGCTGGACCAACGAGTTTATGCATAGTCAAATCACAAACGAAATCGAAATCCGGTTCGTAAACTGTCATGCAGATTTCGGTCGATCGCAGGATTTACAAAGCACGTGCACCGCCAACTCGATGTCAACAGACATTTTCCAAATTTTTCCATGTTTTTAATCAAGGTGCTCACGTGATTTGATGCACTTCGCGATGTGAGACCCGTTTTATCACAATATAGATCTTGATTATCGACCAGATCGCCTGACTGGGCGCCGCCATTTTGTTTGAAGCAAATGCAAGTGATACGAGCGGTGGAATCTGATTGGTCCATAGGAGAGGCAGAGAAGGGACATAACTCGTAATAGCCACTGATGGCGCTACGGTCTAGCCGAGGAATGACAGCTTAGTTCGGCAAGGATGGAAACGACTTTTAATATCAGTTAACTCTCTTGTCTCGGAAAGATGGGCACATACTGAATGACTGTGCATTAACGGGTCGGGACTTTCTTCATATTCGTAACCTCCTATTCACCATATCACCACGCATGCTTTATGATACGGATGAACATGCTTGGAGTATGATGCTGCATTTCAAAATTTACTAAATTAAATATATCTGCTTGAAATATGCATGTCATGATAAACTGCTTTTCCCTTGGACGAGAAGTAGGTCACATGGCCGCGAAACTCACGTTCATGAGTGTATTAGTCGGGAGGCTGTTTTCTGGGCACGATGGACTATTTCCGCATTCATTTCAAGTTGTGTTACCCCAAGTTGTGAAACACTCTTTCATAAAAAAATAATTGATTTGCATCGGACTTGATACATGCAAGAATAGAGTGGATAAAGAAGACTCCATATGCTCTGCCATGACATCAAAGAAAAACACATCAAGTGGTGTAAAATAAGATAGAGAACTCTTTAGGGCTAAAATGTCCCTGTCATTTTCTTCATGGAACACAACAGTTCTATAAATTGTGCCTTTACTATTGTACTATTGTTCTTGCGCTTTCCGAAAGATACCAAATACTCAATTTGACCAAATTTGTCCCTAGAACAGCATCATCCGATGCCGCGAATATATTATATTATTGAAGAAACAAATTCAACATCCTTCCACGAAGCTCATTGAGTGGGTGGGGTCAACAGTCAAATCACTAATTACGGTGGGGGTAAAATTAAATTGACTTCAGCCATTATATGTCTATCATCCTGAAATACTAACCGAATGTTAATAAAGTCAAATTATCCAAATTCATTTTTTTCTCAGTAACATCTAAAATGAGAAAAATGCTTGCTTGCTAAAATGAAAAACAACAACACCAGTTTGCTTCAGATCTGAATACAACTTTGCCATATATTCGTATATAGTGAATACAGCAGCATGAAAATCTCTTTAATGGTACTGACTTTGTCTGTCCCACATTCCATAAACAATACTAACTTCCCTTCTCCCCAACCCTTACTGTAATGCCATAGCCCTAAAGAAGCAAGTCTAGATTTTCCTCAGGCTCAGGATCTGATCCTCCCATCTCACTGAGGCTCCTTTCCAATTTAATTGGCATTGTTTGTGTCTATCAAAATTATATATTTTCAGAGACTAATCGTTAGTCTAGGTACTGACTGTATGATCGATCAGAGGCATTATTCTGAAATACGTTTCTCCAAACGGGATATAGGAATCGCAATTTATGATCAGTAGGAGTGGATACGTCAATCATTGCCCTTTGCATAAGCTACATACTGTATATCTATTATAAATGAAGCCATGCCGACTGCTATTGTCCACGGGGCTGTCATGGACATTACACAGACGACCTATTTATCAGTAATCATTTCAAGTCTTCCATTTCAAGAGGCGATATCATGCAAGTCACTGTGTGGTATCCTTGGACAAGGTTATGGGCTCTATTTTGTCCTGCCATGATATGACTGAAACAGTTGTTGGCTGTGATGTGAAATGCCCATTAAGCATCATTTACCGTTATTTGGAAAAAAATGCAAACATAATAAAAAATATAAAAAAGTTTATTGCAATAACCTAACTGGCGAACAAAATAAACGTTACAAACAAACGTTGATTGTTTCTTAAATCAGTACCAATGTCCAGGAAGATACTTATCAAAAGACCTGTGAAGATCCGGGGTAGAATAGGTCTTCAACAACCCATGCTTGCCGTAAAAGGCGGCTATGCTTGTCGTAAGAGGCGACTAACGGGATCGGTTGGTCAGGCTCTCTGACTTGGTTGATGCATGTCATCCATCCGAATTGCGTGGATCGATATTCATGATGTCAATCTCTGGATTGTCTGGTCCAGACTCGATTATTTACAGACCGCCGTCATATAGCTGGAATATCCCTTTTAATGTAAATATATAAAAAAATTATTTTGTTTACGGAAGTTTCTGAAGTTCACAAAGTTGACAATAACAACTTGATCGTCAGTTTAATCAGAAAATGGTATTTTCCGTAGTAGTTACGTGTAAATACGGACGTAAGACAGTCACAAAATCATTCTGTGGCTGTCTAATAAACTGATTGTTTATTCACTCACTCACTCAGGTCTTGTGTTGTTGTGTGGGTTGGCCGTGGACAGTGGCACCTCTGCTAAGCGACCTGATTCCCCACTCTTGCTATTTAAAATTTCCTTCCAAAATGACCACAGCCGTCGTGACAGGGCCAATGATGCCGCATTGACAGGATTAACTATGCCGCATTGACAGGATTAACTACACCACATTGACAGGATTAATGATACCGTAGTGACAAGGCTACAGGCGCTGCCACCACAAACGGTTCGACATCTTGAACGCAACGTGACGTTCGTTCTCCTCGTCGGCGGTAGACTCACGTTCTTACACTTGCTCGAAAAGCTGGAATCTGCTCTCTGCTTTGATCACGACTCTTTGCCAGTTTCTGTTATGGTCTGCAAGCTCTGACATTGTACCGACGCAGTCTTCTGGACACTGTCCAGCGACTGACAGGGTAACCTCCTCAGCTGATGCCGACACAATGATAATATCGTTCCTCGGATGAAGGATACCATGTATCCAAGTTTCCTGGGGGATGGTGAGAGGAGGTCTGCCACTCCGAAGCCTGTCACTCTGCCGCCCAGCCTGCTTGAATCACGTCATGCGCCTAGTGACTGTCATTCGGCTATGGCCCAAACTCCTTGCGACTAAGCCATGCGATCCTCCTTGATGTGTCATGCCAATGGCTTGTTATTTGTCACTGTCTATTGGTGTGAATAAACAGTACAGTATTCCAGTTACATCGCGGCGTGTCAGCTTAATGTGGGAGGAAAGCCCGGAGTGACGTCTCAGACCCACGAGCACGTGTATGGTGCTGACAGACCCAGAAACATATTCGGGGCGAACCGGGATTCGAACCCACAATCATAGGTTTCTGGGGTGCCCAAGGGACGCAACTCAGCACTGCAAATCGCGGCGCCTTAGACGACTGGGCCACCCGTGTGCAGTCTGTCACCTATATTTGAACTGTTTTAGTGAGCAATGGCAAAAATTTAACATTCTTTCCATATGCTGATTTTGAAATATGAGATAAAACAAAACTCTCAGCTTCCTTGTATAAAGACAAAAACAATATGACTCTAAATAGACAATGACATATGTTTATAGTGTATCATTTACCTCATTCAGGCTCTATTCTTATTAGAAGATCCGGGGTAGAATAGGTCTTCAGCAACCCATGCTTGCCGTAAAAGGCGACTATGCTTGTCGTTTGAGGCGACTAACGGGTCGGGTGGTCAGGCTCGCTGACTTGGTTGATGCATGTCATCGTATCCCAATTGCGAGGGTCGAAGCTCATAATATCAATCACTGGATTGTCTGGTCCAGACTCCATTATTTACAGACCGCCGTCAGATAGCTGGAATATTGCTGAGTGCGGCGTTAAACAAGAAACCAACAAACCAACCTATTTTTATTACATTTGTTGTTGGATCCGGAAATCGACTTTCTGCGCCCTGAGTGAATCACGTGTGCCCATTGACGTTTATACACCTTGGCCTTGTACATACCGTCATGCCTTTCGGTAGCTCAGACGACAGCCGCTAGCTGAGACGACACAACTGTGACAGTCTTGCGGAGGAGGTGAGATAAGGTGTCATTATTTGAGATGGAAGTGTTGCGATGTTGTTTGTAGCTGAAATGATACATTGTCAATTTGACTTACAGTCACCAACTGACCTTATTGTAAGGTGTGTTCTCGTTGTAGGACATCAAAGATGGAATGTGAAGAAATATTGTGATAATATGATTTCTATTTTCCATACAATTTTTAAATATCTCAAACTAACAGCTGGTATATTCGCTTATGAGAACCAGCCGGTTATTATTAATAGTCAGTGATTAGCGTAGTGGCACGTAAAATGGACGTTTAATTCATCATCTGTGTTATTATGACAAGTTTAGTATTGAGATCATTGTCATCAAATGTCCTATTTGAACAGCTTGAGATAATTAGTTCCCAGTAGTTTTACGACCTGATCATCCAGGCGACAGGTGAACAGGGAGATGTTTAAATCATCGAGAACAAAATAAATCTATGACAAAGTCACTCTCTCTTTCAAAGGTGTAGGCCCGATATGTAGACAAGCCGATCGTATGTCGCCTCGAACCGGATTTAAACAAACAACGCTGAAATGAGAAGCACATATGTTTCATGTACTGGCGTCTAAGTGTCGCATATCGGTGACCCATTTTCGCATATCCGCCACCTACTCTCGTTTATTAGCGACCTACTTTCAGATACTGTGCTCTATTTTGGACAGTTTCCTAAGGTATAATCCAAACAGTAGAACCTCCATCACTGAAATAACAAAATAAAAACTCACAGTGTTTTCATCCATTTAATACGTATCAGATGTTGCTTTAGCACCGTCGCGTTTCACAAAGATATATACAGGTTTAGATTTTGTATATTGGGTCTCTTGACTTCTCTTGACGTCAACGGTGACCAGCTAGTTGCCGATGTGGCAGTTGCTCGTGTTTTTATCTGGGCAACAGTATAAATCAAATACTTATTCAGTACATACTTCCCCCGCCATATTTGACCCGTGAAGATCCGGGGTAGAATAGGTCTTCAGCAACCCTTGCTTGCCGTAAGGACGACTATGCTTGTAAGAGGCAACTAACGGGATCGGGTTGTCAGGCTCGCTGACTTGGTTAGTCATCGATCCCAGTTGCGTGGATCGATGCTCATGATATCATTCACTGGATTGTCTGGTCTCGACTCTATTATTTACAGACCGCCGTCATATAGCTGGAATATTGCTGAGTGCGGCGTAAAACAACAAACAGATCAACCAACCCGCCATATTCAGTGATATTTAAATAAATGCGACAAAATCCTTTACAAACTGTACGTGAATATTAACCCTTAAACTGAACAATACACACTTGTTCCATAATTGAAGTACCTATATTTTAAATGCAAATATGAGAATATAATGTTTTAGCGCCAGTGCAAGAAATCTGTTCAGCAAACAAACATTGTTCAAAACTTCCAAAGTTTTATTTTTGCAGATTGCATAGGATTCGCTCGGTCCCTCTGGAATAGCAAACAAAATGATATTATTACCTTGACCCCTTCTCTCTAGATTCTCCAGACGTGTATCAACAATGTCCAAGTCATAAGACACATCGTCTAGTTTTTGGCAGACCGCATCCACATCACAAGCCTAATAATATCTTGTTCTCCCTTGTTCGTGCTCACTTGATTTCGTAAATCTGTGACGTCACATCGTAATGTTTGCAATTCATCTTTCATTGAAACAATTTCCTTTAATTTTTGTTGTTGAATAATTGCATTTTTCATATCATCCAAATCCTTACAAAATTGGCCAAGGTTAGATTCGACATCACCTGACAGGTGCATCAGCGATAATACACAACGACAAAACAGGAGGACTTCGATCCGGACTTCGTTATGTAGTGAGTGAGTATGGTTTTACGCCGCTTTTAGCAATATTCTAGCAATATCACGGCGGGGGACCCCGGAAATGGGCTTCACACATTGTTCCCATGTCGGGAATCGAACCCGGGTCGTGACGAGCGAACGCTTTAACCACTAGGCTACCCGACCGCCCCACTTCGATATGGAAACAAAGTGTTACAATCACTAGGACAAAAGTTCGCATCCATCATACTGAGTGGTGGATTTGTCAATATATATTGTAAACTTCATCTTATCTTGATGATCGTACCTGAGGTATATATTGAGAGAAGAATCAGAATTACTGAAGACTGATTGAGGGGGTAAAGTAGGTCATCCGTTGTTTCGCCTTGAAAATCTGACTTGGCGTGGTCGTAACATTGAGCCGGTACTTGATCCAGTCAAACAATAAGTGTTTTCTTACCCCGATTCTTGATTTTGACCATGACTCCACCAGACCACCACTGCTATTGAACAAATTTCAAGGTTAAATGGTACTTGCTCTGATTCAGGTTTAAGAGTGAGTGAATGAGTGAGTTTGGTTTAACGCCGCTTTTAACAGTATTCCAGTTATATCGCGGCGTGTCAGCTTAATGTGGGAGGAAAGCCCGAAGTGATGCAGGTCTCAGACGTTTACCACTTCGGTGAAACCCACGAGCACGGGTATGGTGCTGACAAACCTAGAAACATAATCGGGGCGAACCGGGATTCGAACCCACAATCATAGGTTTCTGGCGTGCCCAAGGGACGCAACTCTGCACAGCGAATTGTGGCGCCATAGATGACTGGGCCACCCGTGTCCCCTTCAGGTTTTAGGAGCTCAATTGGATGGTGAAATATTCTTTCCCCTCAACTCCATGACCTGTCCGGGTGGTCGTACAATTCTAGCGCAATGATACTGATCCAATTAGCCTTGTTCTGGCTCTCTGGTCCCTTTACTGTTTTAGAGATCCATAGGAGTTTAAATCTCCCTTCTTTGATGAGCAATTTATCTCTCTTCGTCCCTGGCCTTAATCCATTCTCAAACCAGACTTGGGTTTGCTGGACTGCTGTCTGTAGTCTCCACAATTGTGGCAAATGCCCCAGGCTCTCGAATAAGATCTTATCCTGTGTAACGCCTTCAGTTCGCCTTTGAGAAGGTGATGCATCTTGGCATGACTTTGAACCTTACTCGCCGTGAGATGAGGCCCAGCGCTGTCTTGTCCACTCCTATCCCAAGGCGCATATCAAAGGCTGGCGAGTGAAGGCTGCCGAAAAGCCTCTGACGCTTCCAAGTTTCAGAAAGGGCCCAGTCCCCATGACGGTTTCAGCTTGTTTATCCCATTCCTCGAAGTCCACTTCTCCGTTCTTGATTGGTGTTGTGCCAGAGAAGGTCTTGAGCCATAAGTAACTGGACGATGGCCAGTACCAATAACCTTCACCTGCTGTGGGTCTGGGCATACAGTGTTACTGCTACCGGCAACCCAAAAATCTGAGCGTGCGTCCTTAGAGTCGCTGGCAGCCTTGGGCTCTGAGCCACTGTCAGCCGCCACAACAAATGAGTGAGTGGTCGGTTGCTTTTTCCCTTCATCGGTCGTGGCTAATGGGAAACCGTTGCAGCAACAGTTCAAACTGCCCCCACATCTCGCCCTGCAGTACCTTATCAGCAAGTGGATGATCGTACAAGTCCATATGGAGCTAGCTCCAACAGTGTGTCAATTCGCCCAGAATGTAAACCACTTCTGGCTATCCAAAATGAATACCCAATTTCAGCAAATATGCTGAAAGGAATGTAATAAATGGATATTACATAATTCATCTTACTAAAATTCAGGCGAATGATTGTCCATATAATATAATACATTATATAATTATTGAATACAAGGTGACTTACACTTTCACATCAAGTGGTAAAACAGAGTGAGAAATAATTCATATAACCACATCAGATAATTTAGAAATACTACATGTTCAACAAGATAGGATTTATATTCCATAAAATGGATTATAAACATATTTAGAAGATGGCCAATGCTAAGGCTGTTGTCATCGTTTGGGTTTGCGTAACGCCAGACGCCACGAGAACGAGAAAGTTACCATGTGCAGGAAATAGCCAAAGTTTGGAATTTACACTAATATCGAATTGCCTGATAAGTTATGGTGTATTTATTCACCTGTATGTGTTAGTACTACTTTCCAGACATACGATAGGATGAAAGTAATTTATAGAAGGCCAAACTGTGTTAAGATTAACATGAAGCTTGCTTGACAACGGTATAAGGATCTATACCGAAACGTCGCCTTTACAGTATTATAAGAAGATGTTATCCATAAATTGTGTCTACTTTGTCATCCGTCAACTTCTAAGAAATGCCTATCAAACAATTAATGTATACGGACTGGCGTCAAGAGCAACGGCGCTCGTCATTAACTGAAGGTGTATATAACGTTATAAGTGAGTTAGTATCTGAATTAGGTCTTATTAAATCATAAGGATGCCGTATGCTTTATTGTTGTTGCAGTTGATTCTGAGTAAGGAATTTACTGGCCATTATGTAGATGCAACAAGTAAAACTGACGCAACCATTAGTCATTATGCCCAATTACAGAGAAATTATATATCAACCATAACATGGTTTCTGTCAGAGAAATCACTCGAATCTGTTAATTTCTCCATTACATCATGATACAGAAAAATATGTACGGCTGACCTTGCACTTTCATTACTAATTCAATACACTTACTTGCTGGGTAGTGTTTGGACATGACCAAATTGAGCATGCACATTTTGTATGTGTTATGAATGTGTTGATTGGGTACGTTTGCACCATCTTGTATTTAAACAGACATGAACATCGCGACAACCCCTTGTTCGCTCATGGTGATGCGGTGTAAAATATTAACTCACTCAATCTAACGCGGTACGCGGATCTAGTACAGAGGCACGTGGCTATAGTTGGTTGGTTGGTTGGTTGGTTTGTTGATTAACGCCGCACTCATCAAAATAGTGTTAATAATCGAGTCTGGACCAGACCAGACAATCCAGTGATTAATATCATGAGCATCGATCCACGCAATTGGGACGATGACATGTATCAACCAAGTCAGCGAGCCTGACCACCCGATCCCGTGAGTCGCCTTTTAGGACAAGCATAGTCACCTTTTACGGCAAGCATGGGTTGCTGAAGACCTATTCTACCTCGGAATCTTCACGGGTCACGTGGCTATAGACATACAATCTGAAAATATGTTTTTAAAACTGACATGTGTAAATATTAGTCCTGCATTTGTACTTTTTATTCTGCTTTTTTTACATAATATTTATTTCAATTTCACAGCATTTCCACATGGTCTCCATATTTAAAAAGAACATAAACCCTGTTTTACTGAAAGCAAATGTGCCAGACTAAATAAAAGTGTCCAAAGTATAAGTTTCGTTATTCTTTTATATTCAAATAAAAATAATCGAGCACCTGTTTTTGTTAATGAAAATATACTTGAGCTCTGAAAATAAATTAGAAAGCTGATCTCAAACCAAAATCGCCAACTCACCCCACTCCACCCAACCATTACCCACACACAACTATCAAATGGTTGCTCCTTAAGCAGTTATGTGGTGCATAAATAGCACCTGGGTGTTCTATACCTAACCTGGGTTTTTGGGTGAGAAGGAGAAAGGTCAAACTTTCTTTAAATGTTTATATGCTCGTAATAACGAATATATATAATGTTGGCACGCAACAACACAAGGCCTGGGTGAATAAACAGTATTAAATAAACCGAGGCATTGGTGATAAAGGCTTTTATGACTGAAGTTTGGTATGAAGAATAATAGTTTACCAGATGCTAGTATGCCACGAATGTATACGTTGTAGGTGTGAGTAGATAAGGGTAGATACCAGTTGTAGATACAGATAAATGTATTAACGTCTTAGGTAAGGTGAGGTGAAATGGGGTTTAACGTCGCGTCCAAGATTATTGCACTTATATAGCGACGTGCATGTACGTGTGTGTGTTTGTGTGGCTGCTTGTACTAGTGCTAGCTCACTGAGATACCATGCCGCAGTTTAACATGAATACCCCACTCAGACACAGTATACTGACTCCGAGCCGACCAGTCCTTGTTTTAGCCCCTTAATGCCGAGCGCCAGACAGGGTAACAACAAGTACCATATTTAAACGTCTTTTGGTATGACGCGGCCGGGGATCGAACCCCGGACCTTCCGCTCTCCGGGCGGATGCTCTACCACTTTACCACGGAGGTGGTCTATTAACGTCTTAAATCTGTTTGTCTTACGCTATCTGATCAGCACAATGAGAGATACTGAATCTGATTCATGTTCGATGCTTGTTATCGGTTTGACCCTTGGCAGGTTTAGATGCTGGAACATGGTTCGTTAGTTGGTAATTTGTCCTTATTTCACAATTTCCAATTCTTTATATGTGGCATGTAATGTGATCAAATATTTGTAAAACCTTGTCCATTTTCCCCATGTTAATATTTGGAAAAATAACACGTACGTACCAAGCGTGGCGTTAGGGCTCAGTATCCTGAGCCTAAATATTAGTACTTTTGCTATAAATGTATCCTGACGTAAGAAAATAATATAAATAGGCGACGATTGTATCTAATATGAGACTGTGAACTATCAGGAGTTCCTAAGACGGTCAATAGTGTATCAATTCGAAGCACAGATTGCACAGATTGTTCTAAGAATTATTAATAGGCAGGGATGGGGTGTGGGGAGGGTTTCGACGCGACATCGTACGGTACTATCCCTTGTCTGTTAGATGGTGTGCGGCGCCTTTCATCTCGCCTTCAACCATGCAATGATAAAATACGCAGCTTAGTTTTAACAGTTAAAAGATGAATGCATAACATTAGGGTAAGTGGGGCCTCTCCCTGATCTGAAATACCTTGAGACTGAACAATATCGAGACCTGTTCTCATCAGCAAATCTCAAACATATGTCCGCGTGTTTACCCATGCCCCCTTTAATGTGAACTTCGAAATTGCAGCGGAAGGCTGAAAGATGGCGTCACCGACGGCACCCTTGACCATGATGCTCCGACTGCTTGCCCTGTGCTGGCACACGGTTGAATTCTTTTTCAAACAACAGATAATGGCCCGTCTGTCCACGTCCGTGCGGGAGGACCTGATTGACGGTATCGGCTCTGTGATGGGCGGCACTGGCATCAGCAGAGAAGACTACTCACAAAGCATTCATAGCCTCGAATACGTCAGCACCTACTTCCGGTCGAGATACTTGAACATTCTGAAAACAGCCACTCTCAACGACAAGGCTCCCAACCCGGAAGTGATTCTGTTAGACGGGCAGACAAGAAGGAAGCTTCTAGATTTCGGGAAGAAGGATCGCCCCCTGGTGTTGAACTTCGGTAGCTGCACCTGACCCCCGTTTATGGTAAAGATGGCGAGATTTAATGAGATCGTTGCTGACTTTACCAACATGGCGGACTTTTTGATTGTGTACATTGAAGAAGCACATCCTACTGATGGGTGGTTCTTCAAAAACAATATAGATATCCAGAAACACAACTCCCTGGAGGATAGGGTCGCAGCAGCGAAGCGCCTCGGTGAACTGAAACCCTGCGATTGTGATATTGTAGCGGACAACATGGAGGATGGAGCTAACAAGCAGTATGGCGGCCTGTACGAGCGTCTGTATATAGTGCTGAACGGGGTGGTTCTGTATGAGGGCATGCCAGGGCCAATTGGATATAACGTGGAGGAGGTGTATGACTGGTTAGCCAAATACAGAGGAGACCAATAGGGAGGTTGCATGATATAAACAGTAATATGTTCAAAGGGCAGTTTAATGTTTTAAGGTATCTTTAATGATTTGGTAAATCCATTTTTTGTCATGTCATCGAGGCTTTCTTAAAACAAATGATCTATTCAAAGGAAAGTGAACAAAAATAAGTTCTCCATTACACTAATTACAATGTCTAAATATCTACAATGTCCAATGCATTAAGCCAATAACAATGTCTAAATATCTACAATGTCCAATGCATTAAGCCAACTACAATGTCTAAATATCTACAATGTCCAATGCATTAAGCAAACTACAATGTCTAAATATCTACATTGTCCAATGCATTAAGCCAATTACAATGTCTAAATATCTACAATGTCCAATGCATTAAGCCAATTACAATGTCTAAATATCTACAATGTTCAATGCATTAAGCCAATTACAATGTCTAAATATCTACAATGTCCAATGCATTAAGTCAATTACAATGTCTACATATCTACAATGTCCAATGCATTAAGCCAAGTACAATGTCTACATATCTACAATGTCCAATGCATTAAGCCAAGTACAATGTCTACATATCTAAAATGTCCAATGCATTAAGCCAGTTACAATGTCTAAACCTAAACTAGAAATTAACTGCAAATACTAGACCTATACAAGAAACTAATTACGGTTTCACAACCTCTACTACAAAACACTTGCAATGTTTAGACCTTTACTGACGGACAAAAGAAAGTAAACACCTATGTGTGATGCTAGCAATAACTGAAACAAACAAGAGATGGTATTCGGTGGTGATGAATATGATGTGGGTATCACAGTTGCGTTTTGGACCTTAAATTTACAGTTTTTTTGCGGCTGTTTTCAGCCAAGTAACGTTTTCATAACGTTAGTAATTGTTTGATCAAATCCAATTTCAAGTGTATACTTTCGTTTGCCCACCAGTGTTTATTAGTAACTTTGAGCATCTAGTTTTATACAATAAGCTTATTATTACATACTATACTATTATATACTAGAAACTAATGAACTAATTACACTGTTTAGACCCATACTAGAAACTATTTATAATGTCAAAACATATACGAGAAACTGATTACAATGTAACATCTATTCTTTAGCATTGATTAAATGGATTTCGTTTTACTTAATGACATAGTTTTGTCTATGTGTACTTTTCAATGGAACTGTAGTGTTATGGCAATCACATATTACTGAACAATAAAATTGCAAAAGGGAAAAAGTAACCAGAATATATTTTAAGCTGAAGGAAAAAGATAACACATACATTTATAATGCACCTTCTAACAGATACTAATTATTGTGTCATGCCACGGCTCACCTTATTCCGCTCACCTGAATGTTCTATAGCGTGTGACGTCACTGTTGCAAAATGACAAGGGCTGCAGAGACTGAGGTTACTGTTCACATCACTGAGGAGAATGACGTGCCAGCACGTGCTGAAGGTGTATTGTAAAAGTAATTGGGCATTTCTTTCTTTTGTTAAAATATTGACTTTTAAATCATTATATTTTCAAACCATTTCTCTTCTCTCCCACATAACGTATACAGGACGAGCAGTTCTTGTAAACTTCCAGGATAAGAGGTCGACCATTTTTCTCCAAAACTTCTTGAAAAAAATAATTAGGCTTGCAATGTATTTTTTTGAAACAAAAACTGGGCTCACAGTTTTAATTTTAAAAATATCTGTTTTTGCAGCTGTTTCTTAAAAATAATATCTGGTCACAATACACAAAATACACAGAATGTCAAATGGTCCGTCCTCTTTGTATGCATCTTTAAATAGCCAACGTTATCATTCATGGCTATTGTTTTTGAGGAAACGAGCGCATCTTGAAGTTGACTGGCATCTTTTTTCTGAATAAACGTTCGATTCAAGCATGTTTCGTTTGATCTTATTTTGAGATTAATAAATATGGCACGCTTACTAAACAGAACAGTACAGGTTTCAGATAAGACTGAAGGAAGAGATGAACCAAGACCATTTATTCACGAAAGATTCATACCAGGTCTTCCCTGGACGTGTGTGTAATTTTTGCCTATTGATAAGAAAAGTCTTTGCAGGTTATTATCTAAAGATATTGTTTATTATTTATTTCCCTCCCCGTCTGAAGATGTCGGGCATCAAACACAAGGTGCTGATGGGTATCATCCGCTACGTGTAGAATCATGGTAACATCAACGCAGTGCAAATACTTTAAAATTAACGTATACGGACTGACGTCAAGAGCAACGGCGCTCGTCATTAACTGAAGGTGTATATAACGTTATAAGTGAGTTAGTATCTGAATTAGGTCTTATTAAATCATTAGGATGCCGTATGCTTTATTGTTGTTGCAGTTGATTCTGAGTAAGGAATTTACTGACCATTCTGAACATGTATTTTAAAAACTAAAACTCACGCAACTACAGTTCATTGTGCCCAATTACAGAGATATTATAAATCAACCATAACATGGTTTCTGTCAGAGAAATCACTCGAACCTGGTGGTTTCTCCATTACATCATGATACCGAAAAATATGTACGGCTGACCTTGCACTTTCATTACTAATTCAATATACACATTTGGCGGGTAGTGTTTGGACATGAACAAAATTAGCATGCACATTTTTATATGTGTTATGAATGTGTTTATTGGGTACGTCCATCTTGTATTTAAACAGACATGAGGTGAGGTGAAATTGAGTTTAACGTCGCGTCCAAGATTATTGCACTTATATAGCGACGTGCATGCACGTGTATGTGTGTGTGTGGCTGCTTGTACTAGTCCGGACTGATGCCGATTTATAGTGCTAGCTCACTGAGATACCATGCCGCAGTTTAACATGAATACCCCACTCAGACACAGTATACTGACTCCGAGCCGACCAGTCCTTGTTTTAGCCCCTTAATGCCGAGCGCCAGACAGGGTAACAACAAGTACAATCTTTTAACGTCTTTTTGTATGACGCGGCCCGGGATCGAACCCTGGACCTTCCGCTCTCCGGGCGGACGCTCTACCACAAGACCACGGAGGCGGTTAAACAGACATGAACATCGCGACAACCCCTTGTTCACTCATGGTGATGCGGAGTAAAATGTAAACTCACTCAATCTAACGTGGTACGCGGATCTGGTATACACACACGGGGCTTTTGACATACAATCTGAAAAATATGTTTTTATAACTGACATGTGTAAATATTAGTCCTGCATTTGTACATCTTATTCTGTTTTTTACATGTATTTTTTTTATGTCACAGCATTTCTACGTGGTCGCCACATTAAAAAAAACCCATAAACCCTGTTTTACTGAAAACAAATGCCTCGCATTGTAGGAAAGGAATAATGAGCCAGTCTCCATACCAGTGTCCAAAGTATAAATTTCGTTATTTTTTATATTGTAACCAAAATAATCGAACACCTGTTAATGTTAATTGAAAGATACCTGAGCTCTTAAAATAGAAAAAGCTGGTCTCATACCCAAATCTCCACCTTACCTAAAACATCTCGGACCAACACTCGGTCACTCGCACCGAAGGGGTCCCGGCTGTGCAATATAAATGGTTCGGTTTTATTGATCTATCAGCTGAATTAATATCATGTCCGTACCATTTTGGAAGGGGGAATCAGAGCGCTCGGCAAAGACGTTTATGTTAACTGTACGACCCTATACTGAAGACGTGAAAATCAACTTAAGTCTGCTTGCATGTCAGTGACAAGCTTCGAACGAAGGGCAAGAACACCATCTTGATAAGACAACCGTGATCTATACTCACAGCGTTTTACGCTAGAGATCAATATGGAATGTTATTGTTCTCATTTAGAATGTTTGGGCCCACAAAATCAGAAGTTAGGCCCACTTCCACGTAGTTTTCGAATGATTTGTATCAAAACTGCTCCCTTTGAGTGATGTGTTTCTGCAGTCGTGTGTGTTCATTCATGAATAAACACCTTCGGAAGCTGTGCGACAAAATACGCTTCAAAGGGAACACTGATGACACAACCGGAGCACCCAACGTAACCCTTTACGTCAAATCAAATTGAAAGTGGCGAAATCGCTTATAGGGACCCTCCATCTATCGGTAGCTAAGTCGTACAAATGGTTATAGCTCGATACAATTTCTGCTATAGCTCTATGCATAGCTAATATGGTGTCAACGTGTATGTTGACCGGGACATTAGCTCAGATTGAAGACGAAAATACGCTGAGTACAAACTTCTTTAGTCGGCAATAAAACAAACAAATACTAATAGAAATATGTCGGGCGGAGATTCCAACTCAACTACTACAAGTCAAGTCCAGCAAGCAGGCATATCCTACTTGCTGCTGTACATACAGGTGATGTCGGAATACCAGACTAACAGTAAAGATGTAAACATACATATACACTATTGGACAACAATAGACAGACGAAGAGACATGGCGTTGCCCTGGACATGGGAATTATTGATGTGATTACAGACACGGCTCAGGGGGAAATGGATTAAGACTATAAATGTCACAATGTGAAATGCTGTGTCAGACAATGGTACAACTGACCGCTGTTACGCATAGATTTTCTGAACGATATGTACTCAACACTGTACAAAAATGAAGTAGTTCAGAAGCTATAATTCTTTAAATATAATGCGTTGTCCAGAGTGTTATTAAGTCACTCTGTGACAATAGAATGCAAAGCAAATTTGATTCGTGTTACTATAATAGTATATGTGAAATACTGGACATGCTCATTGATAACATCTACGTAAGATTTGGGTGAGGTGAGGTGAAATTGGGTTTAACGTCGCGTCCCGTAAGATTTGGGGGTAAGACATTCAGGCAAGAAGTAGGCATCCATGGGCACCATTGTGCTCCCCTTCTTGTGGATCAGTTTTATTATGTATATGAATCGGAATTTCTGCTCGGATTGGCAAAGTCAGAACAAGGTAATTTGGCCAAGGAGTGTAACTTAAGCTTCAGGTATACGTTGATCGGATATCGTTCAATAACAATCACATAGCCAATTCCCTTCCACTGATTTACCAGCCTGAACTAGAAACAAAGGAGAGTTGCGTCCCTCGGGCACGCCAGAAACCTATGATTGTGGGTTCGAATCCCGCTTCGCCCTGATTATGTTTCTAGGTTTGTCAGCACCATACCCGTGCTCGTGGCTTTCACCGGAGTGGTAAACGTCTGAGACCTGCATCACTTCGGGCTTTCCTCCCACATTAAGCTGACAAGCCGTGATATAACTGGAATACTGTTAAACCAAACTCACTCATTCACTCACTCACTCTTTTTCTGATTAAACTGGCGATTAAGTAAGTATTGTGAACTTTGGTGGTGCTATCTCGACGGAATTATAGAATTTAGTTCGACCGAGGCTTAATGATATAGACTTTTATTACTGATGTTTGGTGTGAAGAATAATAGTTTACCAGTTGCTGGTATGCCACGAATGTATACGTTGTAGTTGTGAGTAGATAAGGGTAGGTGAATACCAGTTGTAGATACAGATAAAGGTATAAACGCTGAAAATGTGTTTGCCTCACTCAAAGTTCAATAATTTTATAAATGCTGTGAATTTCCAAGGGACAGGGTTTTTTTAAATTTACTTTTATATGTCTTGCGGTATTAACGCAAAGAAGTATTTTTTTATGAATAAATAATTTAAATACACATATGTAGGCAACGATACGAAAACAGTGACATTGATCAGCACAATAATACGAGAACAAAATCGCCAATTTTATCATCAGCCAATCAGCAAATAGTATTCCGCAAGTGGGCGTGGTCTATATGTTTTTAGGTAAATATTCCTTGGTTAACCAATTAAATGCCAGGGATTCACTTTGAATAATTACGCTATAATTTTTACAATCACCCAAGAGAGTGAGTTAAAGATTTACATCGCAGCGGCCATATTGCCATGTCGCGATGAGACCCAAGAGTGTGGCCACAGTATAAACATACAGGGTTGGTTGTGTGACGTCATTCCTGCAGGAGGTGTGAAACTAGGTCAGATCACTTCGGTGACACGGGGATTTTATATATTGGACATTGGAGAGGGGACAGCCGACAGGCTGTAGGTACACAGGGGCGATGGACTTCGGATTAAATTGTCTCATTCTGTTTCTTTTAGCAGACATTTTACCTTAAGTATGATAAATCTATATAAACATTATAAAAGTTAATTTATTTTGATTGTGTATAGCAACTTAGATAGGAAGGAAGGTATTAACTGACACGACGCTTATATTTTAAAAATGCTGAAAATATAGTTCAGGCTACTAAAGATCAAGGGGTAAAGTGATTTGCATATCATGGAACCACAGGAACTCGGTGATAGCGTGTATAGCATAATATATTCGTACAAAGTGAAAAAACGTCACATCTGGAAGTTAATTTTAGGTACCGACGTTTACTACAATATCTGAAAAAAAACATTGGACCTACTCCAGTCAAAGTTGGTATGAGATTATTAAACAGTCATACATAACTGGATATTACATTTAAAGACACTCGGTGCATGAATAAAAAATCTGTCTATTTAGCTATCACTATATTTCATCAACAACCAGACCTGTTCATCACAGGTGGAACGAGCATTCATTGTAACAGCCATCTGTATAATGCTACCCCTGCGTCACAGGGACACAGTTGAACCAATCAACACAACTCGAAAGGTTGCACGGGAATCACGCGCGCACGAATACGGTGTTAGCGTTAGATTTCATGATGTCTCAGCGCAAGCATCATTCCGCTGATGCGAAAGGTTTCGTTGTTAAAATATTTGAATACTTTAAGGCTGAAAGTGAAAGACGTTCGCCCTTCTTTGACATTTCAAAGTACATGAAAAGAACAATTCATGTGTTACAGCTTCCCAAACAAACCGTAGTTAAGATTTTGAACTC